ATTTTCCATAGCTTTCTAGAGCCAATTTGTGAAGTTTGAGTTGTTCTTGAGCGTATATAGTTTACTCAACATCTACTCTTAAAGAGAGTCTTGTTCTTGAGTGTTCTTAGTGTTGTAAACACGTTTAGGGAAGCTTGTTTCCCTTGGTTGTACGAAGGAAAGGTATTTTCCTTCGGGTTGAAGTCTTGGAGTGCGGTATCTCCGAGCAAGTGTATTGAGGCTCGTGGGACTCGAGTTCTCAGGTTGTAACGGTTTGTTAAGCACCCGTAAGCTTAACGGAAGTAGTGTAGCTCGAGAGAGTCTCTCGGGAGACTGGACTAGCCACACATTGTGGTGAACCAGTATAAATCTTGGTGTGCTCCCTTTACTCCTTTTTATTCCGCTCTTTACTTTATCCCTACGATTTTTATTCCGCGAAAATTTTTAAACATTCTCGTGCCTCACTATTCACCCCCCCTCTAGTGAAGGGCACTTATTCTAACACATGGCCAGTGCAAGTCAGAAAAATATCTATTTTCAACATCAGAATGCATCATGTAAATATCAAACATTTTCTCCAGATGGGTCAAATGAAAGATTTCATTATACAAAGTGTTCAATACACGAAGATTTGAGCAAATACGAATATTCTTTGGATATAAATGAAAAGATAATTTTTTTATAGAAAGTTCATTCTTCAATATATTCTCGAGCCCTTGTAGCACCTTAGGATCTTCACAAAGTATCATCCTTGGGTTGGTTTCTTCGAATTGTTTCAGGTTTTAGAACGTTGACTTGTTCCTGAGCGAACATGTTGATTTTGGACAGAAGTAACTGAATATGATTCAGGGTTAGAGGGACATTCTTGTCGGAAATGTCCAGGTTCACCACAAATTAGACATAATCCTTGTGCAAGCCAACAATCTCATAGATGGTGTCTTTTACAAACGTTACACTTTGGATGTTTCCATACCCTCATTTTGTTCATGGATGAGGTCGATTGAATTGTCATTGAATTGGTTTTCCCTTTTTCGAGTGTATGGCACAATCGATTTCTTGTAGGGGTCTCTTCCCACTTGAATTTGGTCGTTCATTTGGATTGACACTCTCAGTCTTCAGACGTTCATAGTAATCGCTTAGATCTTTTTCGGCTTTGGAGATTAGGTCATATGCTTCAATGAAATCCACAGTTTGAATAGTAGATACGTGCGGCTAGAGATCAGGTCGAAGTCTTTTGCGAAATTCCTCAATGCGGTCAGCTGCTGTGCTCACCAGCGTGGGTGCAAATTGAGCGAGATGGACAAATCTTTGTTGGTATTCAGGGAGTGTCATATCTCCCTACTTCAATTGAATAAATTCAGCACGCTTCTCTTCACGGAATCGGGCTGGAATATATTCCTTCTTGAACGCCCAATCGAAGAATTCCCAAGTCCAAGGGTTGGGTGTGTTTGGATTTTCGTCAGTACGTTTCCACCATTCGTAGGCTTCCTTGCGAAGTAATTGAGATGCAAATTTTGGTTGGTCAACAAGAGATATGTTCATATTTTGTAATACACGAGCGGTCTGTTCGATCCATTCAAGAGCGATTTGGGGTTCGGCAATTCGATCTCCCAGAAACTCCTCAGCACCAATGTCTTTCAAGGTTTTGAAAGTGATCAAACGAGGTGATGGTGGAGGTGGTTGAAACATAGGGGCATTGGTCATTTGTTGGAAAAAGTTTACCATTAAGGTAGGTAGCATAGCGTTAGGTTGACCTCCAATATTTTGATCATTTTGGGAAACATGTAGTGAGTTCACTTCTTCACTTTGAATAGGAGGTGTGAAACTGGATACTTCAGTATGAACATTTTCGTGCCCATCGCTTGGCACTTGGTTACTTTGATCGTGAGAAGTTTCTTGACTCATTCTACAATAACAGAAATTCCTTCATTAGGATTCTTGACTTGCATAGACGAGTCAACGAATATTTATTCAATCTGACTACATCGATGTTTAAGTCACTAATCGTGTCATAAGAATGCGTCATTTCATTCAACAAGATTGAGCTATCCATAACTTCTAACAAGTAGGTTCTTTGAATTTGACCGAATAAATTGTCAATTCATAGTAAAGGGTAGCTATTCTTGATCGTCAGTTTGTTTGTTTTAACAGAGATGTGATAGTATATTTGACCGTAAGTCAATCTTAGAGAGCACAAGGGATTCTCTAAGCTGATCAAATAAGTCATAGATACGAGATAAGGATAACGTCAATTTCCTTGTAGGATATTTCAACAAAGTTTTGCATGGAATTGTTGCTGAACGAACAATTTCGATTCGTATAATATAATCGCATATTTGCGTCGTAATGAGTTAGACATCAGAATGGGATACTTTTAGACAACATAGTTTATTGATTCTAAATGTTCGTGTTTAAATCAGCAATCCGATCGTCTTGAGTCCACATGAGGATCTTTGACAGCAGCTTCGCGAATGTTATTCAACATTAGGTGTTTCTTCATAGTCGTTTCATTTTATGCGACTTTCCGAGGCAGATCAGTTTCGTCATTCGTGAAATGATAAGTACGTTGATAACGTATCACAATTTTTTTATTCTTTCGTTTCTTCACCGAGTACGAAAAATCTACTTGAGTCTATGCTCGATATAATCTCAGTACTAACAATTGTTATCTAATGAGAATTCTAACAGAGTAATATTTTCCAAATGATTTCCCATACCTTTCATGGAGCAGAGGGATGCGAGAGTCGTGGATGTGACTGACACATTTTTTTATTCAAATTTTGATCCGAAGATCGGTTTTAAAACCATTTGCTCCGATACCAAATTGTAACACCCTAATCCGTCCAGGTCTGCAGCCCCTTTCGGACTAAAGTATTTAACTTGGTAATCGTAAAAATTTAAAACTTTTCAAACACACTTTATTAATCCCAATAATATTTTTCATGACATATACAGTACGGAGTATTCAACAATATTGTGGAAGCGAATTTAATATTGACATATCATAAATAATTTCAAACTTGTCACATCCATCCCGACAATCTCGCCCCATCTGCCACCAGGATCACATTGTTCTTTTTGTTTACCTGCGTGTAGCAAATAAAACACACTACACGCTCAGCGGTAAAGCTGAGTAAGCATATCTAATGCGTCGAACATCCATATAAACTGAATCTAAATTCATAATCAAATCATTTGATATCATGCACACAATGTTCATTTCAATCATTCACAGTTTTGGTATTGTTCAATTCATATCAACACATTTTATTCAATTCAGATACTATTTCAATAGTGCTCTTAAATTATTCTTAATCTAAGGCCAGATCATAACAACGCTCTTAGCTATTCTTAGTCTAAGGCCAGATCATAATAATGTTCTTAGCTATTCTTAGTCTAAGGCCAA